CAAGTCATTAACAAAGTCGTAAAACATGAATATATTATAAATGCATTCCTCCATAGAATTAAACATCCATCCTAACATGGTGCAATTGTCCATATCCCACTGAGCATATTTAGGATCTTTAATATCTGGCATCTTTTCAGTACCCAAAATCCATCCTGATTTGCCTTTTCCACCAACATAGAGGCGGAGGGAACGAGCCTAGGATGCAAAATTACGGCCATTCAACAACACACTAGTAACTCGTTGAGCCGGTGTGTGTTGCGCCGAAAAGAGAGTTTCTTTATTATTACTTGATTTAGCCATAATATTAAATAGAACAATTCAACAGATGACCAATAATTTCAAATAAAGGAGGAATACACCTGATTTCGATCAAACCAAGAAGCTAAAGACATGGCGGTCTGATCTAAAAAATGCTGCCGAATATCCCGGCAGCCCCAAAAAATTACAAACACGTCTTCTGACCCTTGGTACATAAAAAAGACTTAGGGAATACCCCTACAGGGGTTGAACCTAGAGGAGATTGGCTCCCCCTAGGACTGTCGCAACAACTGCCGGAAAAAGAGAGGGTTTGTGAAGAAAAGAAAAAAAAGAAATAGGGAAGGGACTGTGACGAGATGGAGAGAGAGATTAAAAGAGGCAGTGAAAGAGAGAGGGGGGGGAGGCATAGGTTTGAGGCTCTGATACCAAAAAGTAACTTGGTAAAATTGGCGTACTCAATTTGAGAGCCTGACTATCATTATATACAAGAGGAAAATTACAAATATGGAAAAGAGAATAAAATCAAATCAGAATAAAGAGAATAAATCAAATCAGAATAAAAATAAAATCCCTAAACATTAGCCTATATTGAAGACCCAATAAATTTGCCACAATCATTGAGTCAACTTATAGATATGATTTCCAACAAAAACTATTTTTTGAAAATTTGCTTCCGCTTTATTTACTTCGGGCTACCCAACAGATGGAAGCACACAATTTCAAGGTGATAATCTTAGTATCTTGCACTTCTTCATGAGTTGCATGAGCTAGAAATTGCAATGGGCTACATATTCAGGTGTTATCATTTTTATACTTGATTAGTCTCTACTCAATTGTATGACTTCTTTTTAACTTCAGATCTATTATCTTTTTCAATGCTATGCTAGAAACTTGACGCAGATTATTGTTTGTTTTCATCATTTGGTAGGCTGACATGATTGTTGTCAATCCTTTCTCCTGGTCTATGGTTCCTCTGCATGACTGGTATGAATCTGCCCCTGATGTCATGCAAGACTTCATAGATTTATCTTTGTTGAAAGCTTTTGCTGTTACATTTTCTATTTGAACTCGTCTGTTATGAAAGAATCTTCCTGATTGTCATTCTCAAACTATACATAGATGTCTTCCTTATTGCTCTTATAGAATTCACTTGTGATTGAAATGTTTTAGAATTTCCCTTTCCAAAATTGTCAATATGAAACTCTTACCAAAATAAATAAAATAAGATAAACTGGAACTAAATTAGAAGTCAATTTTTTTAGGGCGACTGGCTACTGCATAGATCCACGGCCTAATAGTTCAATTTATCAGTTTATATCCTTTCCCAGCATATTGACACCTATTTAGCTCTTTTTCTTCAATTATTACTTTGCATGTTGTGGAGACCAGCGGGAGGGTGGGCCGTGCATCTTGAATCTGGATTTTTATCTTCACAAGGTCTAATTAAGGGCCAGCAGCCATCACAACACTAAGGCTCTATTGACATGAAATGTTTTCCGGAAAACATTTTACGTATTTTCTAGTGTTTGGTTGCATATTGTAACATTAAAAATATTTTACTGGTGAATACTTTCAATCAAAGCTCCAATTTTATTTATATTTATTTTACCTTAACAAGAAACACACACACACACAACTTATCCCTTTGGGGACTTGAACCTTCGACCTTCTACTTTGAAAGGTGAGGAAGTACCACTAGGCTACAACCTTTGTTTGTATCAAGGCTCCAAATTGAGTTACCTAAAATTCTCTCTGGTTACTTGCTGTTCAGCGGTGTAGTTCATTTTTATTTGTTTTTAGCAAGATTCAGATCTAAGTTACCAGCTACTATATTAAATTAATTCGATGGATTGATTCCTTTTTTACTAATTTGCAGCATCTCTAGCCTTGTATATCGCATGCGAACTGAAAATATCGTCTCTGTTACGTGCAATGGTCATTGGATTATGAAGGATCGGAAAATCTTGAATGTGGATGAGGTAATTACCAATAGATTTATTAATATATCTGGGGTGAGTTGATGGAGGATGCATATGACGATTGGAAGTAGATATTTAATGCTTATGCATCTGATATTATTATTGTCAACCGATGTGTCCTTTAATAGAAGACCACTTGAAAGTTAAATGAGGTTGCTTGACATCCCCCCACCCGCAACAAAACACACACACAACAGCACCACCACCACCACCACACGGTCCACACCCACCCCCTATAAATTAGTTGGTTGACATGTTGAGTTGTACCATTTTGGATTTGCGTCATATGTTGAGAAGCATAACATATAGCTCTTTTAGATGGTACCTTTAATTGGTCTAGTTTCTTAAGTTGCTATCTCACAACTTTGACACACTCACACACACACACACACACAAAGGATGTTTATACTTTAAAGAATATTCACACACACACACACAAAGGATGTTTATACTTCAAAGAATTTTCAGGGGGAAGTAGTAAGCTTTTCAGAGGCGGACAAAATATTTTTAAAATGTTAGGGGGATGGAAGGGTGGGACGGCTTCATGAATCCTTTTTTGCAGTTCTACTGTAACTCAACCAATGACATGTTCTTTTCAACCTTCTCTTTCTTTTTTTAGTTTCACATATTTGAACCATATCACACCTAATCCGTCTGATCTCTGGTTCATTGCATATGAACAGTCCGTTTTGTCATAACATATGTTGGATGAAAATGAGGCATTTCTAACGAGAAGACATTTAAGAGTTTATTCCACTGCTCTCTCTCTCTCTTATTTATGTTTTTTTAGAATGAGCTGCCCTTTTAGCAAATATTAGATGCACCATAAGAATGGTAGATACATTGGTTATTATGACCGTGCTTCCTGTTTTATGTGTTGTATTGGATCTCATCACCTAGTGCAAGATTAGGAGAAATAGTTCTATTCTTGTGTGAACAGAAGGGATTGTTAAAAAGCTGAACTATTTCTGCTCTATTATTTCGTTTATCCGGAACCAATGATATGCTTCTTACCCCTTTATTTTCTGGCTATAAATTGGACAGGAAAAAATAATTTCGATGGCAAAGCATGCTTCAAGTGCACTTTTGAAAAGGGCAGGCATCGTGATTCCGAACAGAATGAATGTGCTTTGATATTCCTTTCCTTTCCTTTGCTCCCAACGAAACCATACGCATTGTGTAAATGAAATGACCAGATTGCGTGCTCGTTCTACGTTGTTCTTGTCGTAAAGGTGAAAGAGCTTTTATGAGTGCAACAGTCATAAAATTGTTGCAAGTAAAATGATTGTGGTGATGCATTCTGTAAAACACTTTTTGTATGCAAAACACTTTTATAGTTGTTTGGTAGTAGTATTGCTTATAATACTTTTATTACTAATTTTACTATATTATCAATACAATAATACTCTAATAAACTTACCCAAATTTTAATTATTTTCAAATTTCATTGTCTTCAATAATTATACGAAGATTAAGTTTTTGCTTTTTTTTTTTTTTTTTTTCTGTTTATTGTATAGTATTTGTATTTAACACTAAAATACAAGTAATTTAAACATATGTGATTGTCACCTAAAGAATTTTGCTCAATAGAGTAGGAAGAGGTGACTAATGGCCATGTATTTACATTGTTCAATTGTTGTCTTAAAATTCTTTTGAACAATTATGCAAAAAGAGGTTGGACCGTTGGATTAGAGTTTTATTCTCAACATTGTTGGGTTGGGCCATGCTTTAATATGCCTTCTTGTATATGTGGGCTAAACTATGTATCATGTAATTATGAAGTTCACTATATTCCTTTTACACAAAGAGCCCAATCATGACTGTTGATGAGCGTAACGAGCCGTCTTGGGAGATGTTTGAGCTTGTTATCCTGCATGTTTGAGCTCAACTCGTTTAATAAATAAATATTCATATACTTATCGATTGTTTGTTAATTATTGACATAAGCTCTTAAATGGAGAAGGGTTGGATGAAGACTTAAAATTCACGGCTGGGATTGACTTAAATTTATTGGCTAGAGTTAAAATTTGATTAGGCCTAATTTTGAAATGATGAGAGTTCTAAACTTACATTATATGAGGGGGGTGTGTGTGTGTATATATATATATAGATATAGATATTTAAATATGATAAATTATAATGTACATAAAACATGTTTGGTTTAGTTCACTAAAGACACCTTCCTCTTCTTCAAAAGAAATGTTAAGAGTTTAAATTTCACTAAACACAACTTGATAATGATTATGTTTGCTATAACTTAAAAAAAAATGAGAAGTTTGGATAAATTATACACGAGTTGAACGTTTCAGCTTTTATTTCCTTCGACTTTCCCTGAGATTGGACCCGTGCACTCAACACACTCCTAATATTTTTCCATTATAATAAGAAAATAATATATTATTATAATATTAGGGTATTATTGATTTTTTTATATTCAAAGTTATTTTTAGTCTGTCAACACAAAAATGTTAAATTAATAAACATTGAACGATTACACTCTAATTTGTCCAAAACTTGGGGGGATCTAGTGTAATTTGCCCTTAAAAACTAAAAAACTAATTGAAAATTGAAAAATCAAATTATTTTGGCGGGAAAAAATATGGCAGCGGAGCACTGAATGAATGAAAAAGTGAAAAATGTGGACAAACAAGCTAAAGCCCAAAACAGAGTGAGATATAAGATTCAGAGGAAAAAGAGTTAACACGATATTTGTTGGTCCGAAGAAGAACAAACGCAGAGAGTAGGATTAGGTCGGTAGCAATGGAAGAACAAGCAGCGAAGAACAGCTCTGTAATGTTGCTACTCCACAATGCGCACATCATCACGATGGATCCCCAAAACCGAGTGTTCCGACATGGCGGTATCGTAATCGTAAACGATAAAATCAAAGCCATCGGCGATTCCGGTTACATTCTCCGCCAATTCTCTCCTACCGCGGACGAAATCATCGATCTCAAGGACCGAATCCTACTCCCTGGTTCTCTCTCTCTCTCTCTTCACACACACACACACATATATATATATGCGCGCTATATATTCTTTGTATTTTTGAAGAAATCGGAAATTTAGCCCTGCTTCTCCCTCCCTCTCTCTATTCTACACAGATTTATATACATGCATATATATATATATATATAGATATATATATATATATATATCTATGTATATACATACATACATATATATATATATATATATATATGTATGTGTGTTTGTTCATATAAATATGCGTGTGTGCGCCAGTGTGTTTGTATATATCTTCTTTACTCTTTAGTTCTCACGCATGTTGAAAATTTAGGGCAATTCTTTAATTCAATCGACAATGCAGAAACTTAGCCCTGGTTCTTCCTCTCTTTCTCTCTACACAGATTTATGTATTATTGTGTGTGTATATCTCTGTGTGTGTCAGTGTGTTTGTGTATATCTTCTTTACTCTTAAGTTGTACAGACATGTTGAAAATTTAGGTAAATTCTTCAATTTAATCTACGATGCAGAAACTTAGTCCTGGCTCTTCCTCTCTCTCTACTCAGATTTATGTGTTATTGTGTGTGTATATATATATATGTGTGTCAGTGTGTATATATCTTCTTTACTCTTACGTTGTACAGACATGTTGAAAATTTAGGGCAATTCTTTAATTCATTTGACGATGCAGAAACTTAGCCCTGGTTCTTCCTCTCTACACAATGATTCGTGTATTCATTATATATAAATATGCGCGTTTGCTCTTGTATATGTCTTCTTTACTTTTTAGTTGTACACATTGTTGAAAATTGGGGAATTTTTTTTATTTAATTAGTTTGACGATAGGAGTCTTGTCCTTCATTTGATGTATTTGTGACTCTGTCCGCATTTGTTATGGCTGTATAGGGTTAATCGACACACACGTTCATACTTCTCAACAGTTAGCTAGAGAGATACTCGTTCGCTTTGGTTTGATGCGTTGGTTGCACGATCACATGTGGCCTTTTGAGTCCAACATGACTGAGCAAGATTAATACATCTCCACTATGCTTTGCGGAATCGAACTCATACATTGTGGTGTGAGTATTAGTAATGATGTGCAAACTCATTAATGCTTAGTGGTGCTTGTTTTGATTTATTAAAGTGTGGTTTGGGTTTGTAATGTGTTGATTCAGGTGACCTGCTTTGCTGAAGCAGGAGGACAGCATGTATCGGAGGTGGCGAAGGCAGTGGAGTTACTGGGCTTGCGCGCTTGTTTAACAAGGTCAATTATGGACTCTGGTGAAGGTTTACCGACATCTTGGACGAATTGGACTACCCATGATTGTATTCAGGTTGTTCATACTTCGATTCCATATCTTATTGTGCAATGAATTACAGAAAAAACTATGTGAAGTGGTTTTTTTTTTTTTTTTTTTTTTCTTTTTTCGGTTCTTGAGAGAGTACGGAGCTCAAAGCATAAGTTTGAAAGATTGTCAGTGTCAATGATATCGTCTAGAAATTGGTCGCAATTGGCATGATGTAGAATGTTATGTACATATAAATCCCTACGACTGCATTTCTTACATCTTATGATAAATTACAAAAAAACTATTGGTGTCGTTCTCCGCGTGCTTATTTTACTGGTTAGTTTTGTTTCTCATTATATTTTATCATAGGCTGGGATGAATTTTTTTGTTAGAAAGCATTGGATGTGCATCCTATGCATGAACCAATTATCCTGCTTTCCTGACAATGTTACATTATTTTCCCTCATATTGATTAGTGTCTCTTAGAAATTATTGTGGATTTTATAATTTGATTTAATCATTAATTCAACCATTATGAGAACGAAGTTTTTCATTACGTCAAGGGCAGTCTCAAAAGTTACTTTACAAGAAGCACCACAATACAGTAGATGGACGCATCAGAATATGGCTTGGAATCAGGCAAATTATGAATTCAACTGAACGTTTACTGCTTGAATCAAGAGATACAGCAGAAGAGCTGAAAACTGGGATCCATATGGTAGCTCTCTTTCTCTGAAATGCATATGTATGAAAGCTTTTTGAGGACATCTTATTCGATGACCTGGTTATATGCATGCTATAGCTTTTCTCATAGTAGAAAACAACTTTGAATTTATGCTAGATACCAATAAATAAGAGAATATTCTCAAGTTAAGTAGCACTAGTGACATTGGTGAACATGAGTTTTGGAGGATAGCTGGCAGAATATCAAAATCCCATAACATAATTAGTCTAAGTGGCCCAATTCTGTTTCCAGGAATGCTTAATTTTGTTCCATTTTTATCTGTTGCAAGTTCCAATTGGAGTTGAAAATTCTCTCTTCTCCTCAGTTCATATGTATTTCATACATTCCATTAGATTTATGGTGTTGGGGTAAAATTTCGTGTGATTCAGTAAACAAAGTATAAATTCCATCGTTGCTGGATCATCTATATAATTCAATGAAGAATGAGAAAATAGTGAATGAGAAATTTTAAATTCTGTCTTTCTAATCGAGCTTGAGGAGTTCACGGGACTAGAAAATTTTACTTGTAGATTTAATTTACCAGTTTCCTCATTTTGTCCACTACTCTGCCTTCATGGTTAAACCTAGATATATGAAGTCATGGCATCGCAAGCTTGTACGTACCCATATACCATGGATTAAATTGTCAACTTCAGAAAGATTCTCTTTTTTTTACTAGTTAACTTCAGAAAGATTCTGAATGCTATATCTTTATTTTCTTGGTACATTTTTAAACAATATACTGACATTTTAGTCCTATGTCTTCTTAATGAAACTGCTATGCAGGCTCCACTACATAAATGTCGAAGAACTCAACTTACTTTTTTTTTGGTCATCTTTTTGAGAGCTCTTCAAATACTTTAGAATGCTATGATTGCTTTCATCTTGAGAAATTTGTAGAATTTCTCAATTCAATATTTTGACCAATATCTGTTGACCTGGTACCAAAGTTTGTTTATTTCTTCTTTTTCATTTTATCTATTTTCTTCTTTCTTTGTTTTTTAAAATATATTGAATTTGGCAGTAAATCAAACTAATTAGGCATAGCACATTTTATGCCAAAAAATGGATATGAATTCTTTAATATTTTGATTGTGCTGGCTCTCCTTTAATGTTTATAGTATGTAGAACGTTGCAGAGACATATTATGAGATTCAAGTTGTGAGGGATACTCTAAAAGTTGATCATGGATGTGGAACAGTTGCATATTTGGAGAAAATCAAGCTCCTGCAGAGTAATTTGCTAGCAGCTCATACTATATATGTCAGTGATACAGAGGTAATTCTTTCTGTTCATTGTGTGTTGCACTCTGTTGAAACCAAATCAACCTGCATAACTTGCCATAGGTATGAAATAAAATCATGATCTGGTCAAAGACTGTCCAAAAATAGTGAAGCGGAATGCAAAATTTAGATACAGACTGAAAGAATGTTCATGTACATCATAACCATTTAATATCTTTTTGTTTTTTATTAAATAAATGAGCGACTGAGAGATGTGTTATTGTGGTTAATTTTTTTTTTATTACTGATCAATGTATGATATTGTTTCAAGGTTTATACTACTATTTATAAATATATATATGCATACATGCATATATATATATATATATATAAATGTGAGCATTTTTAACATTTCTTGAGCTGCCTTGCATACTTCTTTCCCTACAATTGAGTGTTAAGTTTTGTACTTAAACTGCTGCTCATAGAGTTGTAGACTCCTTCAAGTGCTGGAGCTGATCACTCAACCTTCCCCCTCCCCCCACTTCACCCCTTTTCATACAAAATGAAATAGAAATAGAGAAAAGTAACACATTCTTAGCAATCTTTTTGTTTGTGGATACTTTAATCACTTCTGAGTCAATGCACTTATTTCCTGGTCGTTGATTAATCACAGTAGTTGCTCTGCTTGTGATTTTATTTTTTTCTTCCCGGGTATTATAAATTTATAACTGTTATCTCACATTTTCCTTTCAGATTGATTTCCTTGCAAGGGCTGGGGTTAAAGTATCTTATTGTCTTGCTGCTGAAGAGGATGATGAGCCTACTCCTCGACATGCACCTATAGGTAGAATGCTTGATGCTGGTATATGCATGTCTTTGGGAACAGATGGGGCAAAATCGAATGATAGAATGCTCGATGGTTTCTCCTGATTCTAAAATCCTGGTTTTCTGTTCTTCATTCCCTCCATTAAAAAATCAAAAACTCTCTTTTATTGCTTTACTGTTGGAGCACAATGTCTACTTCTCCAGGGTTTACCCTCATGATCTAACATTGACTGAACTTAAGGTTGTTTTCTAGATGCCTTTGTAGTTCATTGATAAGTGAAAATTGCTTCTTGATTTGTATTGCTTACAGCAATGGAATTTGCAGTGGGGGAGATGGTCTATTCTATTCAAAACGAAATAAGGGAAGTTTATGATGATAGAACAGCTTGTCCTTTTCTAGACGTTCTCAAAATGGCAACAGTAAATGGTGCAAAATCAGTACTCTGGGACAACGAAATAGGGTCACTTGAGGTTGGGAAAAAGGTTGGTTTTTCTTTCAACCCTAACACATCTGTTGTTTGACTGTGGGCAAACTTATTCTATGTTCTAGGTGCTGGTAGCATTGTACCGTGGTGATATTTTCTTATTTGTTTTGTTCTCCTTTTTTCTTTGTCCTGTCCTACTGAAAAAGGTGATGAAAAGGTTACATTTAGTTGCAAAAATATGCATGATACTCTGTTTTAACTAGATTGAAATCGTAGGTCATTATTTTTATTATTTATTATTTTATTTTTATTGAGATATAGTCAGCATAAGCAGTTGCCTATCTCAAAGTCTTTGAGAAGGAATTTGATAACTACACTAAAAGATAATTCTAGTATCAATTGCATAAGAACTCCTATAAATGAAGTTATTTGTGTGAGTCAAAGTTAATTGCGACTTGATTGAATAACTCTGATACTATTTTAAATTAAAAACGGGGGAGGGAACACTGAGCTTAGTAAGGATGAATTGTGCAGAGCTAGAATAGGAAGCTGAGGAAGAAAAAGGAAATTCCATTCACTTATGTCAGTACCAAAAGAAAAGATGGCCTTGTTAAGCAAAAAAGGGAAACTAGTTGAGGAAATTGTACAGAATTGTTATTTGTAGATGGAAGCACATGGTTTCAAGATGATAAATTGATAATATTATTATCTTGCACTTCTTTGTGACTTGCATGAGCTAGAAGTTGCAATGGGCTACATATTCAGGTGTTATCATTTACGTACCGGATTTAATCTCTACTCACCTATATGACTTCTTGTCATCTTCAGATTTATTAGCTTTATTGATGCTATGCCAGAAAATTGACGCAGATTATTGTTTGTAATCATTATTTGGTAGGCTGACATGATTGTTGTCCATCCTTTCTCCTCGTCGATGGTTACTTTGCAAGGCAGGTATGAATCTGCCCCCGATGTCATGCAATACTTTCATAAATTTATCTTTGTTGGAAGCTTTTGCTTTTATATTGTCTAATTTGAACTCATCTGTCATGAAAGAATCTTCCTGATTGTCATTCTGTCTTCTGTAATGCTCTTATCGAATTCACTTGTGATTGAAAAGTTTTTTTTCCAAATTTGTCGATATGAAACACTTGTGAGAAAAAGGGATAAAAAAGGAAGTAAATGTTCATTATGCTTTGATGAATTTTCTAAGAGGTGATTTAACAAAAAAGTTATAAACAATAATCTGGACTTTCTATCTTGGTAAGGACTAATTATGGGACAGCAGCTATCACAAGTTTACAACACGAAGGCTCCATTTGTTTTGATGTAAAATGTTTTCCATAAGACATTTTACGTATTTTCTAGTGTTTGGTTGCATATTATAACATTAAAAATATTTTGCTGGTATAATATTTTCCATCCGAGCTCCAAAATTGAGTTACTAAATATTCATTTTAAACAAATTTGCAGAAATCGAGCCCTCTTACATTCCTTGGGAAATAAAAATATCATCTCTGTTATGTGCAATGGTCGCTGGATTATGAAGGATCACAAAATCTTGAATGTGGATGAGGTAATTACCAAATGCTTATGCATCTGATATCTTTTTCAATCAACCAATGTGCCCTTTAAATTAAAACCAATTGATAGTTAAATTAGGTTGCTCGACATGTTGAGTACTACCATGTCTTGGATTTGCATCATATGTTTAGAAGCATAACATCTAGCTCTTTAGACGGTGTCTGTATCATTTAACATGCTTGCTGCTGAAACTCCGATATCTTTTATAGGTCTAGTTTCTTAAGTTGCTTGTCTATAGTCATTTTAAATTATCATGCACAGTTATCCCACAACTTCGACTAGAAGGATGTTTATACTTCTAAGAATTTTCCAAACAAAATCTTTTGAGAATGCTAGGGGGGACGAAAGGGCAGGTCTGGTTTCACGAAGACCGTGTTCTTGTCAACCTTCTCTTTGTTCTGTAGTTTTACATATTTGAACCGTATCACGCCATGTCCATCTGTTTGCTAGTCCTCATTGCATATGAACAGTCCATTTTTATCATCTTATCTCTGCATTTTTTTGGAACCAATGACATTCTTCTTTCCCCTTTACTTTTCTGGCTATACATTGGACAGGAAGAAATAATTTCGATGGGAAAGCATGCTTCAAGCAAACTTTTTAAGAGGGCAGGCATCGTGATTCCGGATGGGACAGTGTAGATTTGTTAGCCGAAATAAAAGGCAACGAAAACATTTGTATGTAGGTTTGCCTTTCAGCTACCATTTTGTTCTTGGTACTGTTTATAATTTGTTGTGCATTTGTGGTTAAATTAATTAATATATATATATATATATATATATATATATATATATATATAAGTTATAACAGGTTGCAGCTAAAGTAGTACAAAAAGCAAAAGAAAACAACATTGTTTATCATTCCTGTAATTAAAAATTCTGCACATGGTTCCTTTAATCTTAGTTTACCTATCCTCTTGTGCCAGTGGTCATATTCTCGTGTGCTTTTACGAGGCCTTGATTTCTTGAAACTACAATTTTTTACTTCGAAAAGTAAGAAAAGTAGTACTAGTTTACATTAAGGGTGATCAAATTTGACTCAACATGACTCGAGTTAAACAAATTTGGGTGGATCTTAAACAGATTCAAGTCGTAAACAAATTTGAATGATATTTTTATATTTTTGAACATTAAAGTTAAATGGGCAAACCATTGGTAATTATTTTTGAGTAATGTTATTGCGAGAGCGCCAAAAAAATCTAAAGAGCTCGCTTATAAGCTACAAGTTTTTTAAATTTGGGAGAGAATTAATTAAGAAATAAATATCTGCAATAAGAAAACAAATACTATATAATCTTTTTTCTATCTCTTCTCTTCATGTTTTCTCTTTCTCTCTCTTGGTTAACACCCTCAATCAATCTGTCTTTTCTCTCCAGTTTAGTTAATCGTGTTGTGTTTGGGTTGAGGGGTTCAATCCATGTGACTCGTTTATACACGTTTAATTGTATGTGTTATAAATAAATTTCTATAAAAATTCTAAAATTACAATATAAATTTGTGTCTTATAATTTACTCTATTGTAAATTGGAAACTACTTAATAATCTGGTTTCATTAAAAATTATATTTTTATAGTATTTATTGTTTTATTAAGTATTATTAATAATTTAAATAATATAATATTTTATTTTTGTAAATAGGTCATTAAATGGGTTAAACGTGTAACTTGTTTAATAAATAAGTCGGATTAGTGTTAAGAGTTCATGACATAATTATTAAACGGGTCGTATTCGGATTGAGCTGTTTAGTATAATTTTCTTAGGTCGACATGATACGATTATGACTTACGAACACAAATTGACACACCTAATTTATATTACCTTTGATTTCACACAACTACTTTTGGTCAGAGTAAAAAAAAATTATATGTTACTTGAAAAAAAATATATATATATATATATATAAAACTGAACCATAATAATTGGGAGTGTATAAAAATTCCTTGAAGCTGTCAATCTGATTGTGAACTCCCAACAGTATAGTTTCTTAACTTTCTTTTGATTTGGTGGATTGACAATTCAGTTTCAGTTCTAAAATTAGGGAACCATTTAGATGGTTGTTTGGATGTCAAAGAAACCAAACCAATCTAAAAAAAATTGTACTTGCATATATGTATATATATATATATTTTTTTTAGATAGAGAAAGCTTTGATAATCATAGATGGTATCAGAACTATTTTTTTGGTCAAAAATTGGCGGGATTGTACACATAAACATGCGAATCAGTCTAACGAAGATGTTAGATTTCAAAATGGAGTAATTGCGAATTATTTGTTGACCAATTAATTGCTTGAAGGTTAAAAAAATTGAGGTCTCTCCGCTTTATTTTATTTACTAATTACCATTTAGTATCATAGCAATAAATCTCACTCTCACTCTCACTCTCACTCTCACTCTCCCTTTTTTTCTTCTTTCTTTTTCTCTCAGTATGTCCACCCTGGTTGCTCTCATAATTAATACCTTTTTTTATTCTTTCATTCTAGAATCATTTTTCTATTAATAAAATCTAATTCATTCTAAAAAACTAAAACCAAACTTTCAAGAAAATAATTTCTTTTATTGGTGCTCTCATAATTAATACTCTCTTTGTCTCATAAAAAGTGTCATATTTGAGTCACGGTTCTCCAAACATAACACTTCTTATGAAACGGAGTGAGTATATAGTAAAAAATAAAAAAATAAAAATCCTCCCACAAGTGGCTTTCTTTAGAGTGAGAATATTGTCATTAACAGTAAAAAAAAATTATAAAAAAAATGTAAATATTTTTCTTTGACATAAAATCTTTTTCAATAAATTTTCACTACTAAAAACAGTTCCGTTTGTTTGATTGTACACTATTTACATAAATTGTTAGGAAAACAAAAATAGCTTTGTAAAATTATAAAAATTTGTCATTTTTTCGTAAGTCATTCTCATAAATTAAACTCAAAAAATATACGTCCAAATGATAGTCATGTGGATTGGCCACATGAGTTTTTTCTCCTTCAATGTATATATAAACTAATATAAAATGTTTGCATTCACATCCAAATACGTGCTACTATAAATGTTAATTATGATTTTCTATATTTGGTAATTTATTTTAAAAACTTCAACTAAACAACAAAAAATTAAAAACATTTGTTTTTTTCATATAAAATATTTCATATGAAGAATAATCTGCAATGTAAATGATTATACGTAGGGCCGGCCCAGACCAGTTATTTCTAGGGCCTCCGATTTAGAGGGACCTAATATTTTGGCCCAGGACAAGCCCTTCTAGGACATGGGCAAAAATACACATATTATTAGGCCCTAGACCAGCCCTGTTAACTTGTTAAGACGGGCAGAAAAAAAAATATGCCCAGGACTGGCCTTGTTAAAAAAAAAAAAAAAAAAAAAAAAAAACCTTAATCATCGTACCAATTTCATTCACAAACGGCTCTCATTCATACCCTTGTCTATCTTGTGCAACAGTTCAGAGTGATATATGCTCCGTCCGTCTCTTCCAAAATAAAAGTCACAGTTTAAAAAAAAAAAAAAAAACATTTATTTTGAGACAGAAAGTAGTACTCTTTTTAAGAACCCAAAGCAAATGATAGTTAACAAATATTATAAATAAATAATATTTATTGAATAAATAAAATATTATTTTCTATGCACATAATGCACAATATCAATTATACTCAATTTTTTACGACCAATATTCCACTCAAATATATCACACTGTTTTTTCAAAACGGGTCTATGCTTTTTTCTCCAGCCACTCAATTTTTTGATTTCCTATCTGTGCTGTCAGTGTTGACTGAACAATTTTTGAAGGTGGAATGGTGGATCGATCAAGGAGCCATTAATCGCATTTTGGAACGAGAGAGGCACAATTAGAGTGCAATTATAAAGCAAAAGCCATTAAATCTTTAATAGGCTCATCTGGTATATTTTTGAAACACTAACACGACATCCATGAGCACCAATCATCTAGTATGTTTTTGAAATTTTTATTCCAATTTCCTACGAATCTTCGATTAAAGCCCTTTAACAATTATGTTATTTGAGTGTTCAATTTTGATATGTTTTTGCAATTGTGCTTGATTTGAGCTATTTGAATTTAAATTCCTTATCTTGTCATGTCATTTTTGAGAAATTGAAGTATTTTGATTGAAAATTTTGTTTCAATTTGAGCTATTTGATTTTAATTTTCTTTTCACGTCATTGAGTCATTCCTTGTCTTATTGAGGTCTTGCCATTCATCATCAAAAATTAATTTAATGAATGAAATCATATAATTGATAATCAAAATGAAAAAAATGTGAATAAATATAGAGATTTAATGAATGAAGACCTTAAGAATAATAATCAAAATGAATAAAATATGAATGAATATGAAGATTTGGTAAATGAAGAGTATATGAATGAAAATGGTAATATTCCTTTGAACATTAATGATCCAAGAAATTGAAAAAATATGATAACAAATTGATAGATTTATTAGTTGAAAGAGGTTCTCAAAAAGATGTTAAACTAAGATTTCCTAAGGATTCAGAAAATAGCCATTTCTATTCCACATATTATATTAGACATTTATCAAACATAATTATTGATGGGACATAATTATTGAAGTATTAGATTTTACAAAGAAATTAGGTTATTATTTTTCAAATGGTTGGATTGCATATAGAGTATTGTTAATTATCCCATACAGTTGCATATGCCAAGAGAAGCTTTTCAAAATTGAAGTTAATCAAATCTTAAAAAAAAAAAAATGAATTGTTGAAAATAATTTAAGAAAAGCACTTCAACTGCCTTTTTTGAATTGGAGTTATTTATTTATTCCTTTAAAAAAAAAAAAAAAATCCAACTTTCCTCTACAATGGCTATATATTTATTTCTAGATTTTAACCTTAAATTGGAGAGAAATGGAAGGAAAAAAAGAAAAAGAAAACAGAGAGTGTTTCGTATAAAATATTTTAAAAAAATAAATAAAAATTGGAATGATATGAATGATACAAATTAGACATGATGAATATGTTTTAAAAAATGGAAAACAATAGAAGAAAAGAATATAAGTTTAATAAAACTTTTTTTACAACCTATTGTGCCCTTATTTTATGAATGATAATTAAAATATCATATGAGTTGTATGCCATATTTTTATATTTTGTCTTTTATCACTTCTTATCTATATATTTGTCTTGTCACTTCTTACGGGTACGTATTAAATAAAAAAAGTTCGGCAATTTTGCATCTCCCTGTTTGATTAAATAGCAATAACAAAAAAACAAAATTAAATTTTTACTAAAAAAATTATGAGTATTGTGGAAAACAGAAACACATAACTACTTGATTGACGTGGCCTAAGTTACATAACTTCTTAGCGTAGACGTGATTTAAGTCACACAAAGTGAGAGCAAATTTGAGAGAGAGGCACAAAAGTTTAATTCGTAAAGTGAGAACAGGAGCTAAAACACGCGTGAAGTGCTAATAATGATCATATGACTTGGGGTATGACAATTAGCTAATTTTTTTTATAAAAGTTAAAAAAAAAAAACACACACACACAAAATTGATGTTTTAAATAAGTTACATGAATATTTAGTAACACCTTTTGTATTATTTTAGTACTGAAATTATATATATATATATATATATATATATAATTACTTGCAAATCACATAATTTTATTGCTTAACTTGTAAAATTAGTCATTGGAATACGGATTTAGAAATTTATATGAGGGAGGCAAATCTATGTAGAGAGATTTTTTCATAATTTCAGTGAGAGCAATTTTAAAGTTTAAAATGCAATAATAAATAATTTCCGTGGGGGCGTATGTCCCTCATTGAGCCCACGGTATATATGTGCACATCACTTGAAATTCAAAAAAAAAATGGTATAACTTTCTTTTTAAAAAAACTATATATACTAATCAAATGCATGCTGATTAGTTTACATCTATCCAAATCCTAATTTAAAAAAAAACAAAAAACTAATTTAGGTAGAACATAGAGTGAGAAATTGATTTGTAGTAGACTTCACAGTAATTTAGAAAAGGTCAAGTATCCTTTTCCGCATAAAACTTCTCTCATCAGTGTCAATTCTGTAAATAAATCAACCTTTTGATGACATCTTAACATTTTCTTAATTCAACTTATTTATTTATTTAATATAAAAAACTACTTTAAATCATAATTTTTGGTTACTTGATTTGGCTGTTCTGACCACCCAAACAAACCCTCACCCTTTTATTCTCTCTCTCTCTCTACCCCTCTCTCTCTCTACAAGTGTTCTCACGAGACTTTCGAAACTCTTGAATCTCCATTTATCATCATCTACACAACCTCTTCTTCTGTGTTCTTCTCTCGCTGTCACTATCTCTCTGCTTTGTGTTCGTGGACCGTTGATCACTCTCGTTTCTTTCGCTTTCTTTGGTGTTCGTGTCTTGTCCACCGTTCGATGGCCGAAGGTAAGCTTCATCTTCCCGACGATCTGCTCATCTCAAAACCATCCGATCAATCTTGGACCGGAAAAGGTACTCACGAACTATTCTGGGTCTGTTTTTTCCCCATTTTTATTGGGTTTGATCTGTTAATTCCATTGTTTCGATCGTTCAGTGATTGCTGGTATGTTAGGGCTTGTTGATCTGAATGTATTCGAATTTTTGGGTCACTTCAATTGGATTTTTTTTATTTTGTTAATAACATCATTTTTGAATTTTAGGGTTTTGAATTGTTGGGAGGTATTAAATTTGTAGCGTTTTCGACTTTGTTTGTTGGTGGTATTTCAGATCAGGTGACTTTTGGTTATGGTCTGCCCATTTTTTATTCTTTTATAATTACTTAATACTCACATTGATTTGTTTTTGTTATCCTCTACAGTATAATAATATATATATATTTTTGAATGGTTTATTTCTTTGCAAATGTTTTTGGGCAATCAAAAACACTATGTTGCAATGTTTCAAATTATATTTTGCTTATTTTACCTCGGAAATTTTCTTAATTTTTAGTATCTTTGATATTATAATCGATATTCTGTTGGTTATTAGAAAAATTCTCTGCTTGTATTAGCTTTTCCTGAGCGAATCTGATAGTCTTCTTGATTTTCTCTTTCCTGTTGTTCCAAAGGGCCAGTTAATTAGTGACCTCTACTCGTCTTTTTGTGATGTCTTCTGGTAACAAAACTCCTACTGATGAGCATGGAAACGAGTTTGTGCTAGACTGTCTCAGTATTTAAATAAATACCAGTTCATTTAACTTGATGATTCCACATGCAACTTTTTGCTGCTGAGGTAACACTTAAAATGTGATACTCCTGCAATCTATTGTTCTATGCTTTATACGACCTTTAATGGCCTTTGATAATGACTACTTATCAAAAAAAAAAAAAAAAAAATGGCCTTTGATAATGACTAATGTGGAAAATGCTTACTAATTTTCCTTAGAGTTATATTGCTCGAAATTGTAGATTTTGATCCATCTAATCTTAACACACACTTATAGTTTAGTGTCAGAGGTCCTAATTTTATTGCTTGATTCAATTCTTTCCTTTTTACACTTATCAGAAACCTTTCAGGAAAATGCCTTCAAGAATGCTTGTTACTAATACTGTTTTGTGAAGCTCTCTTTCTTATTCAGTTTACTGTTCTTTTGGATAGGGAATGGTGGTTGGGTAAATGTATTGTAGGTGTTTATGTGCTACCCTTAGGGTCTTGTTGAATTGAGTTTATGAGGTTTGTATATTGATAAGTACATATCCATATTGTGTGTCTATCTTGACACTCGAACATATCTTTGATACATTGACGTTTTTACATTGCTTACATTTCTTATTTTTCCCGTCATTGACATTTTTGCAGTGCTTACATTTCTTATTTTTCCTGTTATTACTACCTATACCTCTCTTGTATTTTTTTAAATATCTTTGATGCATTCCCATGTCCATCATAAAAATCCCAAGTGTTGGTATTCATCTTTTTCCTTTGAATTCTTCTACAACTATATAATTTCATTTGGATTTGTTCTGGAACTAGAAATGACTGTTTACCTTTCTTATTTGGGCCACAACAGTGGAAGCCTCGGGAAGGAATGATGAGGAAAAGGTGCTGATGGGGTCGCTTGACGAGTCAAAAGGTTTGTTTTTTGTCCTTCAATAGTGTAGTTTTTCTAATCTTAGTTAATGGAACAATCTAGCTTCATGTATTTTACTTGTTCTCACTATGCCCTCTGACCATGCACTCATGGAATTGTTGCTGGCAGATCAAGCAGGATCAGAAAGCAGCATTCCTTTGTCTCCCCAATGGCTATATGCTAAACCAATTGAGACTAAGATGGTGAGTTCTCCATCGTCAGGGAACATAACTTTGTTTTCTGAATTTTGATTAAAAATAACTTTTGATGTTATATGTTGTCATTTTATATCCATGTATGAAATGCTAACTGTACAAATTTTATTGCTTTTAGATAATTGTAAGTTGTTTAATTTTACAACACCCTTGTTGATTTGCCAAAATTTTGGTCTTGTATATATATCCGTTGGAGCTAGCTTTTGTATATATATTTATTTTTTGTTTTTGTTCTTTTGGGGGTTCCAGAAGCTTTGTTGTTAATTTTTTTTTTTTAACTAGTATTAGGACTTCTGTTGTATCAAGTTATATTGCATCCCCCTATTTTGGGTCCAATTAACTCTGCAGCTAATTTTGTATGCATGTTCTAGTTACTGTAATTGGTGTTTAGCTTTTATTTTATTGATATCATTATAATAATTTTACTTCTAATATCTAAGGATGCTTGCATATATTGTCTCAAGTTTGATCTGAGCTTTAAGGATGATGCCTCAAGGTCCATCTTTAGGCTATTGAGGTCACTTTCCACAGTTTGAGGCTCGTATATCATGCCCCAAATGTGCACCAGCACAAATATGGTCAATGATCATTGAATGCAGCTTCTCATAAGTTGATGGCTGACTCCCCTCTGAACTAAGAGGGATTATTCAATGTTGGGTTTGGAAATAATTAACGGAAAATGTACGGTGTCCACATCTTAGTTGCATCTTTATTCTAGTTGCGACTCTACCTTCATAATTTGAAGAAGTGTCAGTGAGAATAAATCAATCTTTAATCATCGCACTGAGAGACTTAATTTTCAATCTCCAATGATAGTTTTGGGCTGACCTAGCAAATGTTGGATTTAAGTTGCTTTTTGAATCCGGCTGAAATGTGAGTCATATATGAAAAATATATTACTTGTCAAAAAAAAAATGAATATCTTCTTATCTTAAATAATTGTATTTTAATTACAGAAAACTTTTTAATAGTTCTAAAAGAACGAACAAATGCGCTGTGCGACATAAAAATTCAAATATAAATGATTTGACTTTGAGTTAACTTTGATGTCCCTTTATTATGATAGCGATAAAAATCATGCCATTTGATTGTCAGTGGTTATACTGAATTTTGAGGTTGTGTGTTTGTTGTGCATCTTTAATAGTTTAATTGAAAGGTCATTTATCAATGAATACCATCTAGAACCGCATTTCAATTGATTTCGTAAAAAATTGATTAATTTATGATAAATGGGGATTATGCGACTAATTCTTTATCTTGTATTTGGAGATGGCAACCGTTAAGAGCCAGTCCTGCTACGTCCCAAACCCGAGCAACTTCTTGAATAGGGTAAACTGGTTACAGCTTGCACATCAAACCACTATTTGGTTTCTAGCTAACCTGACATGTTTAAGCAGCCTAAAGCTTAATTCTCAACTTGAAGGATATTTTAGATTAAAATTAACTAATCCAAATGAAAAGTAGGATAGCATATAAGAGCAGTTTTTTAAGTCTTGTATGGACAACCTTTTTTTCCTATTGTCTGCCTTTTAAATAATGCGCCCCCCCCCCCCCCCCCCCCCCCCCCCACACACACACACAAAAAAAAAAAAAAAAAACACAACTCCACACACACAAAAGGTAAAGAAAAGACGTCACAATTGTTGTAACACATAAAAATGAATACTGGTAGTCATAACCTTTGAGCAGGATTTCCAAATTGTCCCAAATCCAAAGTTATGACTGCAACCTGCAAATCATATTCCATAACAGCTTTCAATCTCTATAATCAGTGGAAAGAGGCTTATGTTTCAGCTTTCATTCTCTATAGGAGCTTATGGACATCCCAATTCCCAATCATTTTCTTTAGTAAAAAAATAGTTAATATTATGATAAAAGTTAAGAGTATGTTTATGCAATGGCTATATCAAATACAATCCCATCTTTCTTGATATGAAACTTTAACCTCTGCTACCTGGTTCAGCTGTTAGCTGGAGTCAGAAACTGAATTCGTGTAATTGAGCTCTCTCATGGCTTCTGGATATCATTGGATCACAAGGCCACATATATTTTGGAGTTTCATTATGCTTGCTCTGTTAGTTTTGTTCTTTGGAAAGATGTTCTGTAACAGTGTTCTTCATGTGAAGAAAAAATGAGACTGAATATATTTAATGAAACTCTGAAAATCATTTTCTGCTCACTTAGTTTTCATCTTCTGATTTTTCTTGTAAGTTCAACAAAACTACCTTATTGTGAATGCCTTGATAATATGAATGAAATAGGGCTGACCAGATTGGTATAAGCCTTATTCTCATATGCACATTGTTGGTCAGGCGAACTAAATTGTTCAATATTATATATCACTTATTCCTTCTGTGTGGTGGTATGTATGGCAGGAAATGCGGTCACCCAGTTCTCTATCTCTTGGAAATCCTGCGGATCCCAATCAGAAGGAGGGATGGCGTACAGACGGACCTGATGAAAAACGAGATTGGAGGAGAACCACTACTGAACCTGAGAGCGGCCGCCGCTGGCGTGAAGAAGAAAGGGAAACTGGCTTACTTGGTAGAAGAGATCGCAGGAAAGGGGATCGTCGTGTTGAAAGCACTTCAGCCAGAGAAACCACGGATATTAGAGCTTTGCCTTCTTCTGACAGGTGGCATGATGCTAGTAATCGCAATACTGGGCATGAAATGCGGCGTGATAGCAAATGGTCATCTAGGTGGGGTCCTGAGGACAAAGATAAGGAATCTCGGACCGAAAAGAGGACAGATTTAGAGAAGGAAGATGCTCACAATGACAATCAAACATTTTCTGGTAGCAATCGTGTGGTTCCTGAGCCCTCAGATTCTCGTGACAAGTGGAGGCCACGCCATAGAATGGAGGGAAATTCTAGTGGACAAGGTTCCTACCGTGCTGCACCTGGATTTGGACTTGAGAGGGGTCGGGTGGAGGGTTCGAATACGGGGTTCACTATAGGACGCGGACGATCTAGCACATCTGTTGTAAGACCTTCATCTGCGGGTCCCATTGGCGCTGCTCATTTGGACAAGAATGAAGGTGTTCCTGGAAAACTGAGCCTATTAGCTGATAGATTTTGTTATCCAAGGGGGAAGCTTCTTGACATTTATCGCAGGCAGAAACTGGACCCATCTTTTGCTACCATTCCTGACCAGCTGGAGGAAGTCCCTCCAATATCGCAAGTAACTGTTATTGAACCATTAGCTTTTGTAGCTCCTGATGCAGAAGAGGAGGTAAGCTTTATAGATTTGCTTCCCATGGTTAATTCAACTGTCTCTCACTTTACTTTGTTATTATCTTGTACAAAATGTTATTTGTTGTTGACTTAATGATATCAATCATCTCTCTTTTGGAGGACAATTTTAAGCCTGTAATGTATTTTAATTGGCTTATGAAATGGTACAGGCTATCCTTGGTGATATATGGAAGGGAAAAATCACCAGTAGTGGGGTATTGTACAACTCATTTAGGAAGGAAAGATCAACTGATAATTTTACAGGTAATTTAATTTCAGTTACTTCATTTATTGTGATGCTATGTTTATTGTTTCTCTTTGGTCACTGTTTGGTTCTTTTTGTTTACAATGTTCACCAGGCATTGGAGACTTGGAATTTACCAATGGAAAACAGGGTAGCCTCCCCTCAATGATGACTGAAAAGACTGTTGATACCTTCCGAGAAGCTGCTGCTGCTGATGTATATCAAGCTGATGTTGATGGCACCTTGTACAATGATGGTCCTATGACGAATTTGATATCTGGTGAGTGACAGATCCTGTTTGCAAGATTTTCATTTATTTATTTATTTTTTAGTTTGAGAGCTTCTGAAAGCAACTACTTTACTTTTTTTCAGGAGATAAGCGAGAAGGGGAACATGAATTTTCTGCGACTATTATAGGGATGCATAGAGATGAATTAATACAAAAGATTTCAAATAGTAACAATGTTTACAGTGCACAAGATACAGGTGGTGTTTACTCCGATGCTTCTCAGCTAAAAGTTGCAGATTCTGCTTTTCCTGAACATCCTCTTAATGATGATGACATTAAGCCTGCTGCTTCCTTTGACATCAGCACCAAGCTTCCAGATGATTCAAATTCTTTATTTGTTATGTCATCTCCTGAGCTGAATTGGAGTGACAGTATCCGGCACTTGGAGAACAGCAGCAAAGAAAAACTGTTAGAAAGGAGTATCCCGCCCGAGGAGTTGAGTTTGTTCTATTGTGATCCTCAAGGAGAGATACAGGGACCGTTTCTTGGGGTTGACATCATTTCATGGTTTGAGCAAGGGTTTTTTGGGGCAGATTTGCCTGTCCGCTTGGAAGATGCTCCAAAAGGAACACCTTTTCAAGAATTGGGTGAGGTCATGCCACATCTAAAACTTAGAGATGGGCATGGTAGCGCCGATCTAAGTTCTAAGATACAACAGCTTGGAGCATTGGAAGGGAACGAGTCTGCTTTACCTGCTTCTACTCCTGTTCCTGACATGTTTCATTCATCTGAACTAAATAACCAGTCTTGGCAGTTGCCTGAATTTGTTGGTTTGCCAGCGCAGCATGTTCAGTCAAGAATATCTGAGAATGAAGGTTCTTTGCAGCTCTCGTATTCTGAGGGTCAAAGATTTCATAATTCCTCCGCCCAAGATGAAGGTTAGTTGTCTTTTGATTTGAGTTTATAATTGTAATACCCCTAGGATTGTATTTATATCTGGGTTTAATATTTATTCAATTTTTCCCTGCAGAGATTGTGTTTCCAGGAAGACCAAGTAGCGGCAATCCAATTGGGAAAACTTCTAGGAGCCTTAATGATCCTTCTGCTGATCCCATTAACAATGCTTCTATTCCAACTGAATTTTCGGAACTTGGCATGCCAAATCAGAATGATAGCAAGTTTCATCCTTTTGGGTTGTTGTGGTCTGAGCTTGAAGGAACTCATGCAAGACGTAACCAGTTATCAGTTATGCCCGCTAACAGTGGTGTTCAGGATCAACTTATAGAGTCTATGTCCGGAAGAGTTGGCCCATTTGATGTGATGGCTAATTCAACACGTGCTGCAGAGACATGGTCTGATGCCTATAGAAGAAACACACTTTCTGAGCACGACTTGTATCAAGATGCCATGGATGCTCGCCGGTTGTCACATATGGACCAAGAATCTAACCACTTTGATTTAGCAGAAAAGCTTTTGCCACAACAGTGTCAACAACAGATCCATCAGCGTAATATGTTGTCTCCTCATCCTCACTTGAACGAATTGTTATTGGAACAAGTACCAAGTCAGAATTCTATCCACCACCAACAGCTGGCCACTCAAATGGGGCCTGACCTGGAACACTTTTTGGCCCTTCAGCTGCAGCAGCAGCAGCAGCAGCGGCAGCGGCAGCTTCAACTCCAACAACATCATCAATTGCAGCAACAGCAAATTCTGTTGCAGGAGCAACAGCAGTCTCAAGCTCGGCAGCTGCTGCTTGAACAATTGGTGCAGAGCCAAATGCATGATCCTGGGCGTGGACAGTTTCACGTTGATGCTGTGAGAGGCAATAATGCTCTTGATGAGCTTTTATTAAAGCAGCACATTCTACAAGAACTACAACAGCGTTCTCATCATCCTCCAAGGCATGCTGATCCATCCTTTGAGCATCTTCTTCAAGCTAAATTTGGTCACATGCCACATCAAGGGCACCAAGGTGATTTATTGGAGCTTGTATCACGTGCAAAGCTTGGACAGATGCATTCTTTGGAACAACAGTTTCTTCACCAAGAGCAATTGCAAGCGAGGCAGTTACCTATGGGATTGAGGCAGAGGGCAAAACTAGAAGAAGAGAGGCTTATCGGTTCTGGCTGGCCTGTTGATGAATCCAATCAGTTTAACAGAAGTCCTGCTGGTACTCACCGAGATCAATATGCTGGGGTTGGCCCACTAGATTTTTATCAGCAACAACAGAGACTGTCCTCTGAGGAGCAGCTGAGTCGTCTTGATCGGAATCTTTCATTGCAAGATCAATTCCAGCGAGGCTTTTATGACCCTTCGTCACTGCCATTTGAGCATTCGTTGTCTTTGCCTGTTCGTGCTCCTGGAATGAACCAGGATGTTGTAAATGCTGTAGCTCGTGCTCAAGGTTTTGATATGGAGGAACCTAGTGCACGAATGCACTCTGCTGGTCAAGTTGGTGGGCTCTCCTCTGGTTTTCACTCTCACCACCCTTTGGTTTCCAACCAGTATCATTCTTCACATTCAGATATGATGGAAGGCCACTGGTCTGAGAGCAACGGTCAACTACCAAATGACTGGATGGAATCACGGATTCAACAATTGCATCTTAATGCTGAGCTGCAGAAAAGGGAGTCAGAAGTCAGAATGACTAATGAAGATCCAAGTTTATGGATGTCAGGTGGAACAAATGATGATCGTTCGAAGCGGTTGCTTATGGAATTACTTCATCAGAAATCAGGCCATCAGTCAACTGAACCATTCGATATGAGCAGTGGTGTATCCTATGATAGAAAGGCCTCTTCTGGTCCTTTTAATGGGACAAGATCTTCAAATCAGCCCTTCAGTTTTCTGTCAGATCAGGAAGCAGGGGCGAACAGCTTGTTCTCTGTAGGGTCCTATGGTTCTAATTCAGGTGGACCACCACAGGTGGGTTTAGTGGATGAGAAAGCTAATAGTATGGAAAGCAGTGAAAGATTGCCCCTTAGGTCCAATTCTGGATCATTGATTTTAGGAGATAAATTCTTTTCGAGTGCCAATGAAACTTCTCAGGCAATTTATACAAACTCCAACATGATAGGCAAGTCATCTATGGAAAGAGACTTCTTAGACGTGGAGGGGAAGAGCCAAGGATTCAAAAGTGACGGTGGCATGATAAAGGGGCTAGCTTCAGAATTTCAAGAAGGTGCTGAGCAGGCAGGTTTGGCTTCTATAGATTGTAAAGAAATGTCAGTCAATATCACTGGCAGGCATGCTTCACTTGGTGTTGCTGGTAATTATCTCTAGTCATTGTCAGTTGCATTGCTGGTTTTCTCTTAATTGTTTCTTGGTCACCTTCAGTTTTGTTCATGTGAGTAACTATCTCAAATTTGTGCGAGTACAGGCTTCTATAACGACAAGATTGGGCTATGTGATCCTTTTGCAGAAGAGATTGCTAAGGACCGGTAAGGGTTCCTTTTGCTGTATTACATTACCATTTCTGGTATTTGAAGGAAAATCCTAGATATGCCAAGAGATACTTAAAGGAACTGTTTATTTATGCTCCATTTGATTCTGTAGAGGTTAATTGTGTAAATATCAGGCAGTTATCTTATTGAATTTATTTTAGTGAAGAATTGGATATTCTAATTATTTCACTTCAACTGCTCATCAGAATATTTTTTACTGTTGAATTTTTTTATGTGAATATATTGCATTTAAGCGAATGGACCCTTGCTTCAAGTTTTATTTTGTTCTATCCAGCATTATATTTTTCTATAAAGCAATTGTGGTGAATGAGTATATTAGAAGTACCAAGTAGAAAAATAAAGTGGTCAGTGTATTTGTGTTTTGACCTAGGCCTAATGATAACAGGAAGACATATATGTTTCATTTGGATAAAGGAAATGATATATTAACTCGAGATTTAAGCCCCCCCCCCCAACAAAAAAAAAAAGAAAAAAAAAAAATCAATCATTAGGTGGTGTTACATAAGAGGTACGGGTGACATTTTATTACAATCATTGTACAACTAGAATCCTTGATGGGATGGATTTCAAATAACTTCTTGTTCCTTTATTTGAAATCCACACATAAAATCCTCTCAAATCAATCAATGCATAAATTATTAATTCAAAAGTTAAACTGTAGTTCCAAAATAATTGAACCTAAAACCATTCATTTAAAAACCTTCAATCTAAAGGGTGCCATAATAACTGACAGTTCTGGGCACAAGTTTGGCATACCTTGGATGTCTTGTGTTTTAAATTTATTTATTTTTTACTTTTTATTCAAGACACATGGACGTGCACATTTGTCAAAGGTGGAAGACAGAGTGGACTTATAGGTATTGAGTTGATATTGTTGTAGGGAAAGATACGATTGTGAAGGAAAAGTACATAATAATTGTCAGACATAGCTTGTGGATATCTTGTAATGTTTGTCATGGAAAAAAGGTTGCTTGTGCATAAAATGAAATTGATATCACACATCACTAATATTTTGGGTGCATGCTTGTGTTTATTGCCTTGTGCTATAGGTATTGAGTTGATATTATTGTAGGGAAAGATATGACTGTGAAGGAAAAGTACATAATAATAGTTGCATGGCAATGTCAGACATAGCTTGTGGATATCTTTTAATGTTGTCATGGAAAAAAGGTTGCTTGTGCATAAAATGAAATACACACATCACTAATATTTTGGGTGCATATAATGGACAGCCTGCACTAGTGTTTATATCAACATGCTTGTGCTTAACTAAATTGCCTTGTTTTTCTTTCCTCCCCCTCCTCTTCCTTCTTCCATTTTTGGTGACTCTAGGAATCTAATTTAATAATGTAGTTCTGCTATATTATGTTATTTAGATTCACGGTATGATGTCTAGGTGACATTTATTTGATTTATTGCGGCAGGATGATCATATTCCTAGGCTTATCAAAAAAATATATTCTTAGGCTTGGGGAGATGTGATTAATTTTCTTTTTGTTTCCTCCTCATGTAGTAATTGATAATGTAGCTTTTTTTACCTTTTATTTTCTTTTCTTTTTTCCTCCTGTGGAAGGTGAATATGTAGTTATTTAGGTACACTACTTGATCTTCAATCACGTCATCTTGATTTTTCAAGCTGTTTAAAATTGAGTATTCATTTTCTCTTAGGCCATTAAATATATATATATATATATATATATATATATATATATTGTGTTGAGTTAAAGAAATATGTTACAATTGTGAGATTGGTTATGAGTTTGTATGTCTTACCTATATGCCCATTATTTGAGTTAAAAATGAGTATATTCAATTTCTTTTAGCCCATTGTATGTCTTTACATTGTTATTAGGTGTTCTTACATTTGACCTATCTTTTGACAGAGTATCAATTGTCCCATCCAAAGGGTCGGACAATCTTTTGCTAAAACGTCCTCCTGTCTCAGGGGCTTCATCACCCCAGGAAGGATCGTCTGAGCTGTCCTCCGATCCAGTCATGAGAGGGAAAAATCCTCCGGTGACGGTTCCTTCTGAAGGTATGATGTATGAAATTACTATGTACCTGTGCACTAATGTTTTTTTTTTTTGGAAAGTACCTGTGCACTAATGTTGAAATCTATCAATTGCAAATATTTTTGTCAATCACAGCACATCAGCTAAGGCATAAGTGATAGTGTCACTTTTGCCTAGGGGAAGTTTAGTATAATAATTGCTACTTTTTAGTGAAATGGTAGGATGCACCATTAATAAACAACACTGTGACAGTTGCTGTCTGGTTTTTCGAACTTGGGTTATGTGTACCTACCCGCATGCCGTACTTTATTTTTGTTATTATTTTTAATACAAATGTGATTGGTTTTCTGAGAGTATTGGTTCAATCTTGAATCCATCAGGGAGAAGACGGGACCCTGGAGGAAATCCAGCAAACCAAGTTCCTCCTGACACATCGGCATCTGTCAAGAAAGACACGCGGTTCCGGCGAACCTCATCTTGCAGTGATACTGATGTCTCAGAGCCATCATTCATCGACATGCTGAAAAGCAATGCTAAGAAGCCAGCACTTCCGGACAGTCGTGCAACATCAGGAGTGCCCGAGTCAACAGATGCAACACAGGCAGGCCGGGCTGGCAAAAAGAAAGGGAAGAAGGGGAAGCAAATCGATCCAGCTCTTCTCGGATTCAAGGTCACCAGTAATCGTATCTTGATGGGTGAGATCCAACGTGTAGAAGATTAATGCCTCTTATTTTGTAAAGCCGATTTCTTTTGAAAATGTACAGTAGTTTAAATTCACTGTGAAGCATTTGCAGATGAAAATTCTTTGATTTTTTTACCCATTTGCATCTGATTTGTGATGATGGGCTAGGAGATGGGAAAAGCTTAGTATTAGAGAAATCAATGCCATGGTAGGTAGAGGATGTACAGGCTAACAATTTTGTAACGGTGGGTTATCAATGAAAGAGAATCATGTATACAAAACATGTAATTATGCTCCTATGGCCTTTTTATCTTCTCACCAGGTCTAGTTGTACTTGCCTATATCAAGTCATCTCTGTGTGTGTGTGCGCGCGCGTGTTCAGAATCTAAAATTCTGAGCAACAAGTTGAAATTTTAGGTTCTGTTTGGAATTTGGATTGAAATCTTTCAAATGAATGGATTTAGGTTCAATTGTGTAAGAGATACAGTTTAGAGTGGCTATTAAATGAATGGATTTGAGATAATGTACAAGCACTATTTGAATTTTTTTTTTTTTTTGTTTTGGAGCAGAAAGAAAGGGTTCAGGTTTTTTTGAGACCATTGCTGGATTTATTTAATACGAAAATAAATAGCTTCACTTTTATATAAAGTTTTTTTTTTTTTTTTTTTTAAATAGTGTCCCAATACTTATTATTTTTTATATTATCCCCTTCTTATCTTCAAAGCGATTCAAATTAAGATGGACAAAAACGTTACAAAAGTTATTTTATAATTATTGTTATTATTTTTATTTTTTATTTTCATCATAACACATATTAAATTGAATTTAAAAAAAAGATTACTGATCCCGATCATTTACAACTTAATATAAAATTAACGCATTTTTCATTATTATTAGAATTATTTTTCATTTTTCGTGTATTTGAAATCGAGAAATACATCGAAATGTGTACTCCTATGGTATAATTGTATTTATTGGTGTATTCCCAGATGAGTCCAACGCATCCGATGCATCCTCTACTCCGGCACTCAAGTTTCAAGATATTATCGAAGGCCAGAAGGACTTATTTGTCATTTTCGAAAACCCCAAGTCCTATTTCAGTAATTTCCCACTCGTCATCTCCGTCACTCGCCTCCTAAATTTCTCACCCACTCTCTCATATCCAAAACAACCACACAATCAATCCATACTCTAGAGAGTGTGTTTATTCTAAGTAGAAGAGCATTCGCATATTCATCAATGGCGGTCCCATTCGCAACCCTAGTAAGTAAAAAAAAACCCTAATCTCAAATCTCGACTCTGCATACTCTATAATTCGCATGTATTATTCATCAATGCCTTTGTTTTTGGTTGAAATTTGGTTTTTGTCTCGCAGTCGCCGAACGTTGGCTCGCTCTCGAGCCCAAGAAGCCTATCGCAGATCAAATTTCTCAGCCCTAATTGTAGCTGTAGTACAAAGCTTCCCAAGTCTACATTGGCATCTTGTACATCTTTGTCTTCGTCGAGCTTGTTTTCGGGCTCGTTGCGTCTCGCTCCTCTCACTAGCGGTACTTCTTTGCAGAGAAAAAATGGCCATGTTAGCTCGATTCGGGCCTCTGTTCAGGTTGGTGTTTTTTCTTTCTGCTAATTTAACCTGTGATTGGTTGGTAAGAAAAGTGATAGAAAAGAAAAGAAAAGCAAGAGAAGAAAGCTAGACCCTAATTGTATAAGGTTCCAAATAATGAGAAATTTAAGTCAATGAAATAGTGAGAAAATGAGAGTGTAGGCCTTTATTTTAGTATGTTAAGGAGTTTTGCATAATGAGGAAATGAGAGAATGTATGCCTTATATTTAGTTTTCTATGTTTTCCATGCTGAGATTAGGGAAAGTCAATTAGGGTTCTGCTTTATCAATAACCTATAGACTGATTAATTGTCACACGGTATCTCTCACCTCCACCCCACACCCACATAAAGTTGTTGCAATTTGTTTTGTTATGGGGTCCATTTAATTATGGCATTTGAATGGAGTTGAAAAATAGATTTCATGAAATTAGATTTTTGTGAGTGCTGTTGTGAAAATTTGGTCAATTGCATGTTTTACAGTGCTTCCTGCAATTAGTAGATAGGTTAAGGTTTGCAAATGTGTTTTATGGTCTTTATTTCAGAGAGTTTTATTCGATTTCAGGAAGCTGAATTACAATCAAAAGTAACCAGCAAAGTGTATTTTGATATAAGCATTGGGAATCCAGTAGGGAAGCTTGTTGGGAGGATTGTGATCGGATTGTTTGGTGATGATGTGCCACAGACAGCTGAGAACTTCCGTGCTCTTTGCACAGGTTGTGTAGTCTGAACTTATACTATACCACTCAAGTATATTGATTTCCGTATTGTCTAATTGAAGTGGGATTTTGAACTTACTTTGAATTGATTCAATCTGATCAGGAGAGAAGGGCTTTGGTTACAAAGGCTCTGCATTCCATCGTGTGATCAAGGACTTTATGATTCAAGGAGGAGACTTTGATAAAGGAAATGTAGGTGCTATTTATTTTCAATATTTGATTCTAGCATTTATGTTCCATTGTTTTTGTGTTTCAGAATCACGATTAAACTTACCTTTGTATGAAACTGATTATAGATGAAAGTTTAACGGTACATGATCCCCTGTTAATGTAAGCATCAAACTCCGCCCATTTAGCAAATACCACTGACTTGTTCACCACCAAAAGAAATCATGCTTACTTTCTTGAACTAGCATTTTGGAAAGGAGTCATTCATTTTTACCTAGTAAATCTGACTAGAGGACCCTGTGGGCTGTGGTGTGTATTCTTTTTGTTCTTTCTCCCTTCATACTCTTTTTGTCCACTTGTAACATCCTTTTATCAAGATCCCCTATGTGTTTTCCCTTTCCTGTTCATGAATATGATGCAATAATTGAAAGGGTCATTGGTTTTTTCCTACAGCTCACTACATGTAAGAGATATGCTGAAATTAATTTTAGGGAAAAGTACACTGACCTCCCCCGAGGTTTGTTGGAATTACAGTGACCTCCGCTATGTTTAAAAATTACAGTGACCTCCGCTATGTTTAAAAATTACAGTGACCCCTTGTCAGACATACTTGTATTACAGATTATTCCTTCGATAATGGTCAACTCTAGTCAATCGATATACTTGCTTATGACAGCATATTTAATATCAATTTTACTCTTGAAATGAATGTGAAGACATTATTATTCTCAGTAAGTGATGATGAAATGGCAACTTTACACTAACATATTGTTATTACTTTGGATTTGGATCCTCTCCATTAGCTTTTTTCTCCAAGTATCTCCAAGCCATCATCCAACGGTTATGAACATGCCACATCATCATTTTTTTTTTGGATTTAGTTGTGTTTGTAACCATAACAGAGTGGTTAGTTGCACAAGTGATGATGCAGCATGTTCGTAACCATTGGATGATGGCTTGGAGATAGTTGGAGAAAAAAACTAATAGAGAGGATCCAAATCCTATTACTTTTTATGGAGTATTGAAAAACTATTTTGCCCTCCCATTAACTCCTCATTTCCTCTTAGATACCACTCTCTCTCTAAAACTCTTTCAACAAATTTCATCACACAAAATAATATGAACACCATGGTCCATCTACTTTGGAGTGACACTACTGTGTTCCATTTCGATATTATTTATCAAAGATCATTATGTTGCATTGGGTTAACTTTTTCTAGTATAAAAGGTGGTTTAGAACATGGTTTCCTATGGGGTTTGCTTGTACATTATTGCCCGAAGCCTTAATTGAGGATTCCTAAATAAAAAATGCCCAAAATCCTTTTTCATCATTGAGCTAGCATGCTGGTCGCTTTCAGACATATTGTCAGCCAAGAGAGCTTTTATGTATTACCTAAAACCATTAGGCAGCTAGGTAAGAGAGTTTATTGATCTTCAATCATGTACATGAAGAGTCGAAAGCCAAAGGTTGCACCTTTAAAAAGGCAATATGGTTTGAGTTGAACTGTTGAAGGAACTTGGGAACAAGAGTAAGACAACAAAGGATGAGTAGAGAGAGATATTTCATGGCTTTTACTTCATGGAATCAAGTTGAGTGAAATGGTGATTGGTGAAACCTGATTTGTCACCTATCTTTTGTTGGAGTAATGCTTAGGAAAATTTCTTACATGTCGCATCATTAAGGATGCAGATAATTATCTGTGGAAGGCTTTAAAGTTAGGGCAATTACTTAAATGCAAATGTAGGACCATTCCTCTTAAAGTTTCCTAAAGGTTTTGCCTTATGGGTTGGTATTTCGGGGTTTTCCCAGGTTAAAGACTGCATCTTCTGCCAGGATAATTCACGGAGCAAATGTTAGTAACCCATTACATCAGTCTCCATAATTTACACTGTACTGCATTATGTCACCATTTCTAAGACATCGCCCTCTATAGTTATGTGTCTTAGGCAGCAGTCCCCTATTCTATCATATGACATTATCCTGTCATTCCATGGCATTATGATTGTTGTAATCTTTGATGATTTTGCACATGGATTCATGCATTTGTATCACTGATAAGATTTTTCCTGCTTCTAAATTTATGACTGTTTCTTTTCTAGACCTGTGAGATAACAATGCAAGCTTTACTGCTAGTCACATGTATGGAGTCATTCTTCTATATTATGCCTACTATTTGGTGACATGTCTTAGTAAATGGCTTCCTGCCTTTCTTTGGACCTTACTTTATGAGATTCTAGGTGGATCTATTAAGTAATGCTCCTTTATCTCATTGCAGGGAACTGGTGGTAAAAGTATATATGGCCGTACATTCAAAGATGAAAACTTCAAGTGTAAGTAAATCTTTCTCTTATGTCAAACTTGCAGAGGTTGGGACCCACTTCCAAAAGGAGCCCACCTAAGATATTTCTTGGTCAAAATGGGAAAAAGAAAGCAAAAAATAGACCATGTTACATGGACTCTCTTCAAAAGTAGGTGAAGTACCTGTGTATGATACACATTGTTGCTCAGACATGGGTATGGGATGTATACGGCACTTTTGGTTGGACATTCATCTAAACAACCATGTCCAATATTCAATTTTATTTTATTATTTCTTTAAGATGAGTGAAATGCGTATATTGAATAATATGCTATATAAAAGACATTACGTTACTCTAGAAAATAAAATAAAAATATTCAACACTATGAATATCTTATAATGTTCATGTGCCTTTTTGTTTAAAGATTTGACATGTCCGACGCATGGGTACATACCCACACCCGACGCACGTACCCGAGTCCATGTAACATAGAAAATAGATAGTCAGGACTTTTTTATTGAGAAGATTTCAGCTGGTTTTAAACCTTATTTATTATTTTTCAGCTATGTTAATTTAACCAGAACAAGGATTTTAAATGCCCCCTCCGCCGGGGAAGTATATTTCTGGTGATTCCCAACTATATTCACAAAAACCCTGAAAATTTGATATTTGCAGTGATTCATACTGGACCTGGAGTTATTAGCATGGCGAATGCAGGTCCCAATACCAATGGAAGCCAATTCTTTATATGCACTGTCAAGGTATCTAAATCTGTATGTTACTATTGCCTATTTTCTGAGAAGAGTTTTAATGCAGTATGGTGTTAGATTAGACCATAATCTTTATTTCAAGAGTAGAGAATCAATCACATGGAAAGTAAGTTCTCAATGGATATTGGGATGTGGAGCTCTTAGTGATGGGTAGTCAATATTACAACTGGCAGATCATCATGCCATTCCCGGGAAGGTAATAGGAGTATATGCTTCTGCAGTTCTTTTTCCTAATTCCTTCTCCCTTCTGTGGCTTTAGCTTACACTAGATATTTGACTTAATTTTCTGACTCATGTCTTCGTTTAACTAAAGATAACAGGTTTACACAATGCTAAATTATACATATTTCTCAGAAATCTGTTTGTTCTATTGTCTAATAAGAAAGAGTGCAACCAGATGTCTACAAGCAACTACATTTGTGACCCACAATTGTGTCATGTAACTTGCATATAATTTGATCAATGGGCACTTGCCTAAATGCATCTCCAGCTGGTTATGGAGCTATTTTACCAAGTAAAACCTTGTTAGTGGGTGGAGGTTTTTGTATCCTGTTTTCACTTGACGTGCATCTAACATTTTTATTTTTTATATCTGCCGAGTGACAGACGCCGTGGCTAGATCAGAGGCATGTTGTGTTCGGGCAAGTTTTGGAGGGCATGGACATCGTTAAGCTGATTGAGTCACAAGACACAGACAGAGGTGATCGTCCTGTGAAGAGGGTGGTCATCAGCGACTGTGGCGAGCTCCCAATGGTCTGAGGTGGAAACTCATTACATCTTGACGCTCCTGTTACTTTCTCTTTCAGTTTTTGAATTACTGCTCCCAATCTAGAGAAATTTTTGATCAAATGAGGTTTTCTACAACCCAAAGTTTCGTTTTCCAGTTTTTGTATCTCCAAGGTCAGATAAACTGATACTGTGAATCAGTAGATTTTTTAAAGAACTCTAAACCAGAAGACCGTCGGTAGCATTCTTGGATATACAAGACAAGAATGTTATTTGAATTGGTCTGTCTGTTATGTTAGCCCCAGAACTTTCATGACATCTTTGAGTTTTGGATTAACCATTATGGTTCCATTTTTTTGGAGTACTCTCTGTTTATTTGTTTCAATAGACCAGGAGTGCAGGAGTCCATATGAGTACAAATGTGGCTTCCTTATGCGTGGAACTACGGGTTCCAATTGCATAGTTTGGTGTTACAAGTGTCTCGCATCGGATCTGGATGGGGAAGTGAATGGGTATATATGGGTTAGGTGCTAGCCTCACTTAACAGCTTAAGCTTTTGAGTTGGATCGCGAGACATTCACTCATTACATTAGGGCTAGTTTGGCCCTAAGTAGGGGCTTGAGATGGATTGGCCTTGTCTGCTCGAGTGCTAGGTTGCTGTGAAGAAGGCAAAGCTTGCCTTCACGAGTATTTCAAGCCCAATATTAAACACACATAAAAGAGTCACTTAACAGCTTAAGCTTTTGAGTCGGATCGCGAGACATTCACTCATTACATTAGGGCTAGTTTGGCCCTAAGTAGGGGCTTGAGATGGATTGGCCTTGTCTGCTCGAGTGCTAGGTTGCTGTGAAGAAGGCAAAGCTTGCCTTCACGAGTATTTCAAGCCCAATATTAAACACACATAAAAGAGTATATACATGTATGTATATAGAATTGTGGGTAAATTGCAGTGACACCCCCTCAGGTTTGCCTAAAAGACAACTTAGGCTATTTTTGGACAGTGTCAACCCCCAGGTTTGCAAACTTGGTCAATGACACCTTAAATATGATGAAAGTACATGTTTACCCTTTGACCACGTAAAATGACCAAAGTAGTCTCAACCAATATACACAACAACCACTCACCAGTCACCACCATCGCAACCTCACTCACCACCATCGCAACCTTCACAACCCCCATCTTCTTCGCCGTTCCACCACCATCACACAAAGCCACACAAAACCTAACAACTCAAAATTACACACACACAACATAGGGTTTCAAATTACACCCTAAATATGATGAAAGTACATGTTTACCCTTTGACTACGTAAAATGACCAAAGTAGTCTCAACCAATATACACAACCACCACTCACCAGTCACCACCATCGCAACCTCACTCACCACCACCGCAACCTTCACAACCCCCATCTTCTTCGCCGTTCCACCACCATCACACAAAGCCACACAAAACCTAACAACTCAAAATTACACACACACACACACACAACATAGGGTTTCAAATTACACACATATACCCATAAATTACAAGATTTTTGTCTGTATCAAATTTTGTTAACTACCATTTTTTTTATGGTTCTTCATTATTTTCTTATATCTCCTTCAAATTGTATACAGTGAGTAAACAAAAAAAAGAAAAAGAAAAAAAAGGAATCAATAGCAGACACATTGTAGCAGAGACTGAGACACCCAGTTCATGCCTTCCACATCGTCAGTTTAGTTCATTCTTCGCCATCAATTGCAACCCCAACCACATTCTTAATCAGAAGAACTGAAAGCCAAGCTCTCCATCGCATAGGCCATCAAAGTTGAGCTCGTCGCCACCTCCATCACAGTCGACATCCTCCACGGCTGAGCCCATCAAAGCCGAGCTCACCACCACATCCATCACAGCGGACACCCTCTACGGCCGAGCTCGCCGCCACCCGATGAGATGAGGGGTTGAAAGAGAGATGAGAGTCTGGCTAAACAGGGATTGAAAAGATAGAGATAAACAGATGGTAGTTTGGTTATTTTATGAGAGGATTAAAATAAAATTTAGGACATATTAGACATTTCATGTCAATTAAGGCTGTGTTTGGCTCTTTTTTTTGTAAAATGGGGTGTCATTGTTAAAGTTTGTAAACTTAGGGGCTGCTGTTCAAAAATGGCCTAAGTTGTATCTATTTGTCTTTTAAGCAAACCTAGGGGTGTGTCACTGCAATTTACCCTAGAATTATAGATGATAGAATTAAGAATATATCATCAAATGTGGCTCCCTTATGCCTGGGACTATGGGTTCCAATTGCATAGTTAGGCTAGTTTGGGCTTGAGATGGATTGGCCTTGCTCTACTTGAGTGCTAGGTTGTAGTGAAGAAAGCCAAGTTTATGAGAATTTCAAGCTCAATATTAAACACACATAAAGAATATATATATATGTATCTATGTATGTATGTTCATATTCTCTCAACCCCCTCTCTCTCTATGTACCTATGTGTGTGTTCGGGATGGGGTTACTGGGGTATATGAGTTGTGCTTAAAAGCTCTGAATATGGTTTATGGTTGGTGGGGGATTTGTCATGTCATGTGTGTGTATATATATGTACCTATGTGTGTGCTGGGGGTGGGGTTACTGGGGTACATGATACGAGGGTGAAATGAAGTACAAAGGTGCCTGTCTGCCCGTTTTAGAATATTTGCTAATCTACCTTCCTGCCAAGGCAAGGGTTTCTTGGCATGTCTTCCACCACCATAGCAGCATCATGAATGACAATCTTCATCTGTGTCACTTTCTTCAATGACAATCATCAAATGCCATCTAAAAATTACTCCTAATATGAGGGATCACTTCATTCACTTCTTTCATTTTACTGCTCACGAATCATCGGGTTAGGCCTGTTCCGGTATCATGAGAAAGTATATAATACACCAGTTTTGTATCATGAGAAAGTATATGATACTACAGGTTCCGCCTAATGAAGAGTCATGCAAATTCTTCATTTTTCTTGATAATAGAGAAATAGGAAGATTTCAAAAGAAATGAGGAATTTCAATTAGGCAGGGGTAGCAGGTGCTGCACTAGCCCAACAATAGGGTGTGTATTGTTTGGGGCCTTTGGCATGTATTCGAAACCCAACAACATCATTTACCCTACCCCTTTAACTTCTAACTCCCTAATCCTACCAACCATTGCCAAGTAAGAAATATATATATATACTTGGCAATGGTTGGTGGGGTTATATTAGGTAAGGTTACCACAGAGTAAGTACCCTGAATATTGTATACTTTCTTCTTTTTTACGGGCAAGGTTGTGTTCTTATTCTAATACTCCTGAACAAAATGAATATATATATATATACTGAAGGAGAGAGAGTATAATCCTAATATGATTTTTTTTTTTTAGAAAAAGAATTATTTTTTAAATTCTAAAGTATAACTATTGATTTGGAAACTGAAGAAAAAATTCCAATACAACAGAATTATCATGTCATTTTGAGTGAGTGAGTTGCAGTGTGTGAGTTTCATATACTTGCTATATAACGATATTTAATTGATTGTTGGTGATATAAGGTCAGCACATCTGCTTAGCCAAGATGGTGTTGGGCCTGTTTTGCATCTGCTCAGCCAATATGGTGCTTTGGTCCACTATTATAGGTGGGCCCATTCTGAGTGTTGTACCTCTTCTGAATTGGCCTATTTAGTACTCCATCACCCTTCAAACCACATTTGTGAGTTCAGAGTTGCCAATCACCTATAGTCACATAATTACACATTTTTGGGGTTAATATTCAAAGTGTATCATTTGTTGAAAAATTATTACATGGTCTGAGATGGCATGATTACACTTTATCATAGCCGAATATGCAAACAAATGTATCACTTTTATTCAATTTTTTGCTTGTGTGTTACGTTATGATTCGCTTAGACCATCTTACACTGCATTTGAGTGATTTCAATTTTCACACTGGCAAGTGTTCACATGTGCAAGCATTTTGTCTTGCTCCATGCACCGCACATCACATGAGATTCTAGCTCTTTTGTAAGGATAAATTATTGTACAGTTTGGAATTATAGCTAATCACTAACTATATATATATATATATATATATATATATAGTTAGAGCGCCTTATAATATACACATCATTCAAGTCAGCAGTAATTCGAAAACGTAACGTCAAGAACTTACTTTTCAAATACCAACTAACGTCGTCAACACTTGTTCAAAAAGTGGTCCAAATTTAGTAATTGGTCCACCTAATTGAGGTATGAGTCGAAATAAATCATAATTACACATTTTGGGGGTTAATATTCAAAGTGTATCATTTGTTAAAAAATTATTACATGGTCTGAGATGGCATGATTACACGCCTAATATGCAAACAAATGTATCACTTCTATTCAATTTTTTGCTTGTGTGTTACGTTATGATTGGCTGGGACCATCTTACACTGCATTTGAGTGATTTCAGTTTTCACGCTTGCAAGTGTTCACATGTGCAACCATTCTGTCTTGCTCCATGCACCGCACATCACGTGAGATTCTAGCTCTTTTGTAAGGATAGATTATTGTATATTTTGGAATTATAGCTAATCACTAACTATATATATATATATATATATATATATATATTTAGAGCGCCTTATAATATACCCATCATTTAAAGCAGTGTAATTCAAAAACGTCAACTTAAGAACCAACTTTTCAAATATCAACTAACGTCGTCAACACGTGTTCAAAAAGTGGTCCAAATTTAGTGATTGGTCCACCTAATTGAGGTATGAGTCGATATAAATGAATGAAAATGGGTTGGTGACGTGTTTGAATGGAGTCCAAACTGAGTGATTGATGATAAGACTTTGGTAGGGTTTGATCGGGATGTTTTAGATCTCACGTGCTTCGAGGAGGATTCGATAAGATACTTAATTACTCACTACTCAGCACGTGATTCGCGTGGAGCAAAAAAAAAAGAATCCAACTCTGTTCACACCTAAGTGGGCCCACACAGAGACGACAAAGGCCAGAGCCCACTTGCACTGGCTGCTTGTTTGTTTGTATGGCTGTCGTACTGCCTCGTCACGCTGGATCACAGTCATCGCCAGCTAATAGCCCTAATTCATTGGACGGAAAATGACGGGTCGTGTGGTGGGGCCCGATCAGATTCTGTCGGTGGAATTGGTCCTTTTGTGTCTTCCAAAACTCAGCATTACTTAATCATTATTTTATATATAACATCATTTCACAATTAATTGACATTCCTTCTCTACTTATAATGTGATAAAAATTAAAAAAAAAACACAAATACTACATATAATAAAAAAAATACGAAATATATATTTATTGCAATAGGTGACTA